TTTTGAGGTGGAGTTTCACTCTTTTTGCCCAGGCTAGAGTGCAATGGCGTGATCTCAGCACACCACAACCTCTGCCTCCTGGGTTCAGGCAATTCTCCTGTCTCAGCCTCCCAAGTAGCTGGGATTACAGGCATCTGCCACCATGCCTGGCTACTTTTTTTGTGTGTGTTTTTAGTAGAGATGGGGTTTCACCGTGTTGGTCAGGCTGGTATTGAGCTCCTGACCTCATGATCCACCTGCCTCAGCCTCCCAAAGTGCTGGGATTACAGGTGTGAGCCACTGCGCCCAGCCTAATATTTCTTCTTAAGTAATTTAGTTTAATCTTAGAATAGAGAAAGATTTCATGTGGATGATTGGTTGATAGGAGAGTCTTGTGGAGGCATAATTAAGGTAGATTTATGCATATTTTAATGCATGCTTTATTCTTCTATTTTCACACCCCCAACACTACTTAATAAGCTCCAATTTGGTATTGGGAATGTTTAAGGCTGCATGCCTTGTTTATGTTACTTAGAAATCCTCTTGCCATCCACTGGGAGTAAGAGGCTGGTAGTTAGTAATATGAGTGTGAAAGAAACCCTGTTTGTTCACATTGCTCTAATTAGGAAATGGGGAAGCCCTCAGTCTTAATTATTGAAGTTTAAGGCACATAGAAATTAATAATGGAATATCTTATCTGGGACCATGTTTTAAAGTCAAAATAGAGACTGCTATGTATTGAATACCAGATGCATGAGTGTATAAATTTACATTAGATTGGCAGATAATACTGATCCTGGATCTTGTCTATGCAGGTATTTCATTAACCACGGAGCCAGTGTAGGTATTGTCAATAGTGAAGGTGAAGTTCCCTCTGACCTTGCAGAAGAGCTAGCCATGAAGGATCTTCTTCTGGAGCAAGTAAAGAAGCAAGGTAACCTCATGGATTGGAGGGGGCCAGGAAAGATTCTCAAACACTGCAATTTACAGAAAATAATCCATTTGTTATGTAGAGTGTTTCACTATCATATGACAGGAGAAGATTTGATCTATCTGTACTGCATTAATCATTAATCCAGCATCATGTTTCCTCATAATGACTCACACAAAAATAGGCCAGATGCCAAAAGGATGACCAGTCATTCCGTTTTTTTTTTTTTGGCCATTCAGAGGTTGCATACCCATCATACAGTTAAGAGTGACCTGATAAGAAGTGTGAACATTTCTTACTGTGTGTGTGCAAGGTAGGATACAGTGTAAATCTGAGTATTAGCCAAATTCAGTTTGTGACTTTGCATCTTTTCCCTTGATGAGAGCTAAAAGTGGTGCTGCTAAAGATATTTATTTTAACTAATCATGAAAATTATGATAATTTGTTAAGGTGAGGACGCTAACTTAGAATAATGTATTCTCAAAATGCCTATTTTATAGTTTTAGAAGAATCGATTTCACAGAATAGGATGTAATTCTTCTACCTGGAAGTCCCTGGGTTATTTTTCTATCATAAAACTCTGTGGAAAAGATTTGTAGTCATTTTTTTTTTTTTTTTCAGTCGTTCTGCTAAACTACCTTACTCACAATCTGCAGTTCATCCCAGAGGATTTAGCTCCAGTGGTCTTTCCCAATAGGAACTTTTAGAACAGTCAGGGCCAATTCTTGCTGTGTGCATTGTTTACGTATTATCCAGAACTGCTTTTGTGCTACAACTGCAGAGTTGAGTAGTTGTGATAGATTGGATGAATCACAAACTTGAAAATATTTCGTATTTGGCTCTTTAGAGAAAGTATGCTGATCTTACCTTAATATAATGATGTTTCTAGGTCAGTAACTACTTGCTTTTGCTGCCTTCCGTGTATAGTTTTTGAGACACGGTCTCACTTTGTTGCCCAGGCTGGAGTGCAGTGGTGCCATCTTGGCTCACTGCAACCTCTGCCTCCCAGGTTCAAGTGATTCTCCTGCCTCAGCCTCCCGGGTAGCTGGGACTATAGGTGTGCACCACCATGCCTGGCTAATTTTTGTATTTTTTGGTAGAGACACGGTTTCACCATGTTGGCCAGGCTGGCCTTAAACTCCTAACCTCAAGTGACCCGCCCACTTCAGCCTCCCAAAGTGCTGGGATTACAGGCATGAGCTATAGTGCGTGGTTTTGTGCCCTATTGAATTGAAGAATTTTATGCTTAGCTTAACCTCCGTTCTCACTCTGTTTTATCTCCTAAGATTTGCTTTAAAATGTACAAATAACTTTAAAAAAATCAAGTTTTAAAAAATAGTTTTGATTGGAGAAACCACTTTTTCTATTTTGATTGCTGACTCTTCAGTTAAGGAGCATACTCTGTTGAAAGAGATATTTATCCATTTGACCCAGCAATCCCATTACTGGATATATACCCAAAGGATTATAAATCGATCTATTATAAAGACACATGCACATGTATGTTCATTTTGGCACTGTTTACAACAGCAAAGACTTGGAACCAACCCAAATGCCCATCAAAGATAGACTGGATTAAGAAAATGTACACCATGGAATACTATGTAGCCATAAAAAAGGAAGAGTTCATGACCTTTGCAGGGACATGGATTAATCTGGAAACCATCATTCTCAGCAAACTGACACAAGAACAGAAAACCAAACATCGCATGTTCTCACTCATAAGTGGTTGTTGAACAATGAGAACACATGGACACAGGGAGGGGAACATCACACACTGAGGTCTGTTGGGGGATGGGGGTCTAGGGGAGGGATAGCAGGGGTTGGGGAGATTGGAGAGGGATAACATTAGGAGAAATACCTAATGTAGGTGGCGGGGGGATGGAGGCAGCAAACCACCATGGCGTGTATATACCTATGTAACAATCCTGCAGGATCTGCCTATGTACCCCTGAACTTAAAGTAAAATAAAAAAATAATTAAAAATAAAGCGGTATTTATGTATATGCTTAACTTTGTAGCACTGCTAACACTTCTTTGTGTTTGGAGTACTGATCTGTTCTAAATTGGTCACTTCTTCACCCCATTCATCTCCCAAAATCACACAGTTGACAGGTTCTCCCTTTTTTATTTGTTTTTTTGAGATGGAGTCTCGCTCTGTCTCCAGGCTGGAATGCAGTGGCATAATCTGGGCTCATTACAACCTGTGCCTCCCAGGTTCAAGCAATTCTCGTGCCTCAGCCTCCTGAGTAGCTGGGATTACAGGCACCCACCACTATGCCCAGCTAATTTTTATATTTTTAGTAGAGATGGGGTTTCACCATGTTGGCCAGGCTGGTCTCGAACTCCTGAGACCTCAGGTGATCCACCCACCTTGGCTTCCCAAAGCGCTGGGATTATAGCCGTCAGCCACAGTGCCTGGCAGGTTCTCTTTTAAGAGCTGAAAGGGAGCAGACCAAGCACAAAGACTGCTAATGAGTGTAAAACTTTTTGAATGGGTATGTTTGTATTTGAGACATTTTATTATTTTGTATAATGGGGTATGCCCCACCCTAACCCCTTTTCACTGGCATAGATATTGGAGAGTTACTGGCTAAAGGGAGGAACTCTTAGAGTTCTTTCATAATGTTTTTAAGGGAAACAAAATCTGCATTCCCTTGAAAGCAGACAGATTTTTAAACTGCATATCGCCTACTAATCTGTTCTAGATTATATATCTTCAAATCAGTGTATTTACCTGTATATGGAAATGAACTTTAGAGATAGTTCAACTTTTAAAGTATATCAATACCTGAAACCAAGATTTTGGATACTAATCCTATGGTATAGTGAGTGGACAGGGACCCAGAAGAAGAATGACAAAGAGGAACCAGCATATCAGAGTTCTAGTGGCAAGCTCTGTCACTAATGTGTTTTGTGAGTTTGAGCAAGATGCCTAAACTTTCTATTTTTATTACCTCATCTGTTAAATGGGGATTGTGTATTATATATACCTTGAAAGATTGTTGGAAAACTAAAATTTTTAGAGACCTGGAAGTTTATAGCTTTGTACAAATATTATAATGTAAAAATAATGTCCCCTTTGTCTTTATGTTCTGTTGAAAACAACTTTAGGTACATTCCCTTAATGGATCTATATCATATAGTATTTAACCTGATGATTTAACTCTGGTAAGACCATTAATATGTGTACAAATGCCATTGATCTTCTAAATTTGATAATTACCAACTTGATGGCTAAATTGTTATTTGTATTTATATTTATGATGTGCTTTAATCTAAGGAAAATAACCTGTCAAACTTAAGTGGAGCTTTAGTAATCCTGGCTGTCTGGTATCTGCTTTCTGTAGGAGTTGATCTAGAGCAGTCAAGAAAAGAAGAAGAGCAGCAGATGTTGCAGGATGCCCGCCAGTGGCTCAACAGTGGGAAAATAGAGGATGTGAGGCAGGCTCGCTCAGGGGCTACAGCCCTTCATGTGGCTGCTGCCAAGGGCTACTCTGAAGTTCTCAGGTATTGTCCATTTATATCAATCAGGAGTGGTTCACTGGGAGAAGATGAAATGGCTTTTAGAAGCAGAGGCTGAATTAAATTTTCTGCTATGGTGTGTTTCCTTTTTTGTTGGTTTCCTCACTGTGCAGGCTTTCTCACATTTTGCTCGTATTCGTCCATGGGTTGTGTCCCTCCCTCCTACCATTCCTCTAGCTTCTCACTGACATGTATGATGTGAAACAGAGTTGAGGTACACTGTCCTAGGAGGTGACTTCTTCCAGTTCTATGATTTGTCATTAATATCCCTGCAACTACCTCTTCTTGTGACCTATAATACTTGTGATCATTTGTTCCCTTTTGACTTATATAATTTATTTGGTGTCATTAGATTAATTATATAAATCTTGAGTATGCAGTGTCCAGCTGGCACAGGATAGTCAAACGTATATGAGGGATTTGGACTCTACTACTCTGTTCCATTTTCCTTACATCCATACATGCTTTAGATAGCTATTGGTAGTTAATGTTGACAGGCTTTCCCAAATACATGGACTGCCAAAGGCATTATACATGCAGTTGTTAACTGGACTCTTGTAGTATTTTATGTTTCACCTAATAGGGGGTTTCTAGTAGGTATAGCAGTGTTTTGGTGCTCCATTTCTGCCTGAGAGTGCTATCCATAAGGGCCCAATGTAGTTTGGGTCTTCAGGAGTCAAATATTTTCTCCTCCGTGCATACAAGTTAAATTACAGCTTTATAGTTAGCAAGAAATTGGAGGTATGTGGGTTTATAATAAATACAGTATCCTAGAAAGACAACCAGAAAGCTAGTTGGGAAAATACCCTGAAGAGAATGAGTCTTCATTTTATTTTATTTTTTAAAACTTTATTTTTATTGTTGTCACTATTACAGATAGATAGAATGACCACAGCCTATTAGAGTCTTCATTTTTATGTTACTTCCTCCCTGCACTGGAAAATGGAAAATGTACCTTTAAGAGTTATGTGATTTGGCTAATTGAATTACACTTTGGTTAATCTTAGGTACATACCTTTCTGTATACTCCCCTTGTGTGGTGTAACATGGATATGCCTAGGAAATATGACTTTTTTGAGAAGATTGGTAAAGGTTATCTATGATTGGTACACAAAATAGTAACTATGAAACCCAAACTGTGCCTTAGAGGGCAGAAGTAATCATTAAGACCCCTGTGTTTCAGGGCCAAAACCTGAAATATCAATTAGGTAATAGTTTGCTTGCCAGAGAACTGTAATAAAAAGGAGATACATGTCTTGTTTTGGGTTTTCTTTTTAGACTTTTAATTCAGGCTGGCTATGAACTCAATGTTCAGGATTATGATGGCTGGACTCCTCTCCATGCTGCTGCACACTGGGGAGTGAAGGAGGCTTGCTCCATCCTGGCAGAAGCACTCTGTGACATGGATATTCGAAACAAACTGGTTAGTGAGCCTGAACCTCTAAAAGAACAATGAGATTGGTGGCTGGGTTTCTAGAATAAAAGGCTTAACATCTCTATTCGATGGCAGCCTGACTGTTCTGGTGAAATATGCATCATTGGTAGCTATGATGTTACCTTTCACCACCCTGCCTCTGGCCCTATTAACACAGAGTTATGTTTGTTATTCAAAATAAAACCCCATGGACCTTCTGATTTTATGTTCAAGCCTCTAAAACAGGAAAAATATATATATTTGTTCTTGGCAAAAAATGAGCTTTGAGGAGCTAATGTTACTGTCTGTGGTGAGGTATGAAAGATTTTGTTGTTACTGTATTTATATGAGTCATTAAAATGTTATAATGACAGGTCCTTGAGTTTGACAGAAAATAGTGTTATTCAGCCTCACTTCAAACAACTTAGAAGCTCTGGAACTCCTATCCCCTATGTCTACTGATTTTATTTTAATTAAAATTAGAAATTTTTTTTTTGTAGACATGGGGTCTCACTGGTTTCCCAGCTGATCCCGAACTCCTGGGTTCAAGTTATTCCCCTGCCTTGCCACTTATAATCCCAAACTCTGTGTTTAAAAGATTTGGTGTTTTTCGTTATGTGTTGTCTGTGATAGATAAAGGCTTTATCATAATGTATGGCAGACTAGTTAGGGAAGCAGCTATTATTGAAATTAAAGGCAAAAAGTGAATATTGAGTTGAGTAATCCCAAAGTGTTGGGATTACAGGTGTGAGCCCTTGTTTGAGGAGTGCAGAGACATGGCCTTTTAATTAGTAGATATTCTTATCTGCCTCACATCTTTCCTGAACCCATGTTTCATTCTCAGACTATGGATCAGGGTTATTAATTAAGCTGATGGCTCCTACTAGAGGTAACTTTCTTGTCAGTCCTCCTCTCACTTAAAGGAAGATGATTCAGCTGGGTGTGGTGGCTCACACCTCTAATCCCAGCACTTTGGGAGGCCGAGGTGGACAGATCACGAGGTCAGGAGAGATCAGACCATCCTGGCCAACAAGGTGAAACCCTATCTGAATGATTGAATGAATGAATGAATGAATGAATGAATGGAAGATGATTCCTATGATTTAATCTTTATTACACATGTGCCCTGTATCTCTCTCTGCAGTTTTGAAGAGTCCTTTATGGAATTTATCATAGCAATTAAGACCATTTTAGAACAGATACAAGTAGGGATTTCACTTTATTATTTGCCAAATGACAGTGAGGATTAGAAATGGTGCTATTTCCTCAATACTGTTGTACAAACTCTATATTTAAAGAATTTGATGTTTCTTGTTATGTGTCCTCTGTGATAGATGAAGCTGTTATCATAATGTGTGGTAGATTAGGAAGTGGCTATTATTGGAGTCAAAGGCAAAAAGTGACTATTGAATAGTTCCTTGATAAAGTCACATGATTGCTTCTTCTGTTTTCTATCAATCATGGTGTCCCTTTTCTCTGCCAGGGCCAGACACCATTTGATGTAGCTGATGAGGGTCTTGTGGAACATTTGGAGATGCTCCAGAAGAAGCAGAATGTGGTAAGTCTTTTATTGGTGCTTTCAAAACTTTTCTAATAGTTTGCAGTTCACACCAAGTATCTTAATCACTTGTTTCAGTTATGTCTGCCGAGAGTTGAAATGGACATATCTGCCTTCCAGAGATGTTCATTGTTTCCTTCAGGAACATAAACAGTCTGCTAGAAAAATGTATCCCAGAAACCATTATTGTTCAGGTTTTTTGCTCTTTATAAGATAGCCTTCAAGGAGTTGGAAGTTAAAATAGCAACAAAAAAACTAATAATTACCCTTGAGTTCTAGAAAATGAATGTGATATGTTCAAATCAGAGGTTTTTCGAAATAGAAAGTACCAGAGTGGAGGACACCTCATGACTTTTTTTATCTTATTGACTAAAAGGCTATCTTTATTTAAGTACATTGATTACAGAGAGGAATATATTTCTTTCTTAAAAAATAAGGAAACACACAATACTAAAACCGCCATTTGATATAGGGGAGTATTTGGTCAGTGATTCATACTTATTCCAGTTTTATGAAACATCCAGAATTCAGTCCTCCTTTCTCTGCTCTTCATTTTAAATCTTTTATTGTTTGGTCATGCGTGCCTTTGGCTTAATTAGTGCTATGCAAGAGAACTACTTAAGTATGGTATTTGTGTTCAAACTGCAGAATGGAAAACCCACCCAATACACAGATGAAAAGTGAATAAGCCATATTTTTTACTCATAAAGCAGATGAATAATTTGAGGATAATAAAGATCAGTGATATTAGGGTGGGACATTAGGGACAAAAAAGTCAATGGCATTTTTTTTTTCTTTTGTACTTGCTGTCACTCAGGTAATATAAATTAAAGTTTAGGACAGATGTGGGAAAACAGCAGTTCAGAATCAAAGAACTGCATAGCTCAGTGATGGGACAGATCAACCATACCTAACCTCTGCTGTGTTCAGCATTATGTCTGGAATGGTAAAGTGAAGATTCTAGTTATTTTAAGGCTCAGTGGGGAAGTCACGTACATAAAGCTCAGACAAACACAACTTAAAGTTCATTTTGTTCTCTTTGTTGAGCAATCAGGATCACTGAAACCAGGATTTTCAAATACAGTGTCAATGCTATTATTTAGCAGCAACAGCCTTCCTAATTATAAGATGTATACTTTGCACAGTTAGGTTCTTGTAATTTTTAAAACTTTTTATTCTGAAATAAGTTTAGACTCACATGGAATTTGCAAAAATAGAGATTCCCTGTGTATTCTCTACCTAGCATGGTTCAGTTTTTGAACATTGATAGTATTATTCATGAAATAATATTTCTAAACCAGTGGGAATGGTACTTTTCTTTGCCCTCTGCATAACTTGGAGTTCCAGGGATATAAATACATCTTGTCTAGAGCATGCATCTAAATAGCAGACCATTTTCTCTAAGGGCTTCTTTCCCATTTGGTACCTGTGTTTTCTTTAGAAATGTTGCCAACTTATTCAGTATATGAATCATAAAGAATTCTTTCAGGTTCCTTCTGGCTTTTTATCCTTCAGAATCTAGGCTTTTATTGAAGATTGGGTTTGGATATTTGATAGGAGCAGTTTTATTGAAGCTCTTAACACTATGGCTTTTCTATTCTATCTTGGATGAGTTCTGTCACCTAAGGAGACCCAGCTGATATGTTTCTCTTTTTCTTAGGTTCCCCTCTACCTCTTTGGTGTTGGTCCTGTTTTCTTCAGAATGACAGTACCATTCTGGTTCTCAATACTGATGATTTTTCACCAGTAGTCAACTTCTTCCCTTTTCTCTCTGTTTTCTCCATTTCCAGCTTCGAAGTGAAAAGGAGACACGGAATAAACTCATTGAGTCAGACCTAAATAGCAAGATGCAGAGTGGGCTCTTTAAAAAGTAAGACTTTTAGGTTTAAGGAATGGGATGAGATTTGTTCTGTGTCATTCACCTACTTAACTTCAGAACGTAAAAAGTGAAGAAACTCTGTGTTTGTATTTAGCCGAATGATCTATAAACTTGTGGGAAAGTTTGTGGGGCAAGAGAGTGGCATTGATATGTGAGGGGGATACTAAGGATGGTTGACTGTGTTTTAAACTTCAAAATTAATTGAGACTGTGTGCACTATTTTAAAATCCTGGCTTGGGTGTTCTTAGTCTCAGCTTCTGCCTTTGCTTACTATAAGTTTCATGAACTCAAGAGACACTGTCTATTTTGTTTACGACTATACCAGTGCCTAGCATGATTCCTGGCATGTAATAAGTACTTAGTAAACATTTGTTAAATGATTTTTTTGAATATGTATCCACCATCATCAAAATTCATAGCTCTTCTTTTTTTCCGTGTGTTGAACAGGCCAGATTTCCTTGAGTCATACTCTGTAGTCAAATACTAAATCTTAGTCTGCAAAAATGAAGGGTTCAGAAGAACACACAGATGTAAAGAAGAATTTGAATATGTTTCTGTTATTGTTTCCACATATAGGTTTATAGACTTGTTCACTTTATTATACCTGATTATCACTTCTGAATTATACCCAAGTTGTCATCTTTAATTTAGCAAAGAGAAGATGCTCTATGAGGAGGAGACTCCTAAGTCCCAAGAGACGGGGGAAGAAAACAAAGAATCTAGTAGCTCCAGCTCAGAGGAGGAGGAAGGTGAAGATGAAGCTTCTGAGTCAGAAACTGAGAAGGAGGCAGGTAATACAAAGATGTTCATAGTAAAGATCCTCTATCTCCATAGTATAAGGAGATTACTCCTTGTCAGAGAGCTAGCACCTTTGGAGCACCTCACAGGACTCCAAAAAGAGCTTGAAGTTTAGTTTTCAAGGATAAGAGATCAAATTGCTGGTGACCAGCTGATACAAAAACTGTGAGCTCTGTTAGACTATATCTGCTGATTCCTGCGTAGCCATATAATAAGGCACACAAAGAATTCTTAGGTGAAGGCCGGGTACAGTGCCTCAACACTTTGGGAGGCCAAGCGGGGTGGCTTGCTTGAAGTCAGGAGTTCAAGACCAGCTTGGGCAACATAGCAAGACCCTGTCTCTACAAAAAAATTAAAAAAGAAAAAAATAATAATACTTATGTGAGGGATCCACCTGTCCTTACCCCAGCTTGGTAGATGGCATAGAGGCCAGATTCCAAAATGTCAGTGTGCTGAGAGGCAAAGAAGATGAGCTCTTGCAGAAGCTCTTAGGGTCAAACCAACTGGTGAATACTTGCATTTAATTCTCAGGTTTGTGTGAGTCCCTAAACAGAATTCTAAAATCTTTTTCCCCCTCATTATCTGAGTTGGGGAATGAGGAAGGAACAAAATCATATTTACCTTTATGGCTATTGATAACATATACCTCATATAGAGAGGTTTTTTGTTTTTTTTTTTTGTTTTGAGACAGAGTCTCACTCTGTTGCCCAGGCTGGAGTGCAGTGGTATGATCTTAGCTCACTGCAACCTCCATCTCCCATGCTCAAACTATCCTCATTCCTCAGCTGCCCCAGTAGCTGGGACTACAGGTGTACGCCATCACACCCAGCTAATTTTAGTATTTTCAGTAGAGACAGGGTTTTACTGTGTTGTCTAGGCTGGTATCAAACTCCTGACCTCAAATGATCCATCTGTCTTGGCCTCCCAAAGTGCTAGGATTACAGGCATGAGCCATCATGCCTAGCCCTAGAGCTTCTTAAGTTTATTGTTTGACAAGACAGGAATCTCAACAGTGAAAGTGAAGTGTTGAATGTGGTCAGACCAAGAAGCTATAAAATAATCCACAGGTTTTGATTTATAGTCAGGTAAACACTGAGAAAAGAATATTGGCTTTTACTGAATAGAGGTTCAACTGCAACAGAAATAGTTCTCATTAGATAATTGGAAGCTAATGATAAACTAAAATTTTACAGTGTACCTATGCCCCACATTCACTACCATATCATCCCTCCAAACTGGAGTCCATGATAAGATGAAATGTTTCTGATAGGGGGAAAGGGTCACACATTGAGTTTATAATGGAGTCTGTGCTTTCCTATGAACTCTGCCGTGGCCGACCTACTGATAATGAAGATATTTAACTTACTCTGTCGTCGGCACCAGCTCCTGATGTGGTCTGGCTTTGCTTATATGATTTCTCACCATTATGGGAGAATACTACCCTTCTTAATGTCTCGATCTCTGAGGCTCATTGAATGTCAGTCACCAAAGGAAGTTAGAGAAGCATCAGTTCTATAGAGAAGACAGGCAACAGCTAAGTTTACATTGTAGGAGATGACCTTTTATTCATTGAGACTTGAACTTCTATTGTTAGTCGTCGCAGTTTGCTCTGGAAATGCCATTATAGTACCTGTCAGAATTTATAAATGTGCATCTTTTTGATATTTGATTATTTATTGAGAACTTACATATTCTAGCCTTCAAGTATTTTGAACAAATATCTGAACTTGCGCTATGCTAGATCACTTTTGTTAGTGGCTAAGGTATGCGAAAAATGGGAGGGAGCTGCCTGAACTATTGTCATTGCTTTGTGATTTGTACCCTTGCCTCAGATCTCTTGTTCTCTGTTGTCTGTTTTCACATCGCTATTGGTATAAACACCCACAGTACCCTTTTGATTATGCTACACCTCTATTTAAACCTATGACTACCTCCCTCTCTCTATCTTTGCCTGCAGAGTAAATAAACCCCAAGCCTCCTGCTCTTGCCTTCAGGACTTTTCATCATCTAGCTCCAGCTGACCTTTCCAATGCTGTACATAGAAAGGTCAAGCTGCAGCTAGATTATGGCTAGCTGGACTGCTGAATTTCCTCAAACATGCCCCGAGCTTTCCTGCTCCTGAACATTTTTTTGCACAATTTATGCCTAAATTCATTTCAGGCCATCAATGCTTGTTGAGTGATTTCTGTAGGACTATAGGATCCAGCAGATTGAAAAAGTTGTTCTGGTATGGGAAGCTGAAAGGAAATGGGCCACCTCACTGTTCTTCTATCCTAGCACTGCCTACTTAACTCTGCTGTAGCACTCATCATTTTGTCTGGGAACTCTGGGTTTATTATTGAACTCCCAGGTCTCAACTCAATGCCTGGAACATAACAGACATTCACATTTATTAAATATTTTTTGTTGAATATATCTTGTCAGGAAATAGAAAGGAGTATACATGAATAAAATACATGTCACATGAGAAATATAAGTGCAGTCAAGGGTATTTACTAGTAAGAAACATTGCATCTAGTTCAGGGAATTACAGTAAAACTTTAAAAGTGTGGTGCTTTTTACTTTGCACCACACTTTAATATTTTTATTTCATTCTCACAGGCACACTCTGAGGTATATATTATTAACACCACTTTTTAGAATGGGAAATTGACACTGTAGGAGGGTTTCATAGCTGGCAAGTGGAATGCCTAAGATCTGGACTTTGATCTGCGACTCCTCAAAGTAGTGGTAGGAACCCAGTAGAAATTATCTGCATAAGAAATGAAAGGTAAAACTGTAGAAAAGGATGAGATCCCTATAGATGGATTTTGTATATGATATACTAAGTGGAGATAGTTTTCAGTTTTTGTCTGAAAGTTGGACTTGGAGCCTACCAAGATGGAAATAACATTGAGCTTATTTTCTTCTGCCAACGGTTGCAAAAGGTCTTATGTTAGTTTACATCCAAGCATTACAAGGCCTTAATAATCTGTTTGGATGATGGGCAAACCTTTTCTATTAGCAGAAAAGGACATAGACACAAAGGTAAGATGTTTATAGTAGTACTTGTTACTTCTCTTGTCTTAAATAACAGATAAAAAGACAGAAGTCTTTGTCAACCATTCCAGCTCTGAAAGCAAGAGTAGTATCACGGAGCAGATACCAGCACCAGCTCAAAATACCTTCTCTTCCTCTTCTGCTAGGAGGGTGAGTACTTTTGACTTAATTTGGGAATCATATTTCACCCTACTGCAGTAGCACACACCTAGAATGCCCTTAAATGTACATTCTTGCAAAATAATAAAAATATATTCTTGCCTGTCGTAGTCTGCTCTCATAACAAAAAAACACAGGCTGGGTGGCTTAAACAACAGAAATGTATTTCTTACAGTTCTACAGGCTGGGAAGTCTCAGATCAAGGTACCAGCCAATTCAGTTCCTGGTGAGGGCCCTCTTCCTGACATGAATATAACCACCTTCTCACTATGTCCTAACATGGCAGAGAGAAGGAGCTCTGGTGTCTCTCTTCTTATAAGGTAACCAGCCAGCCCTATTGGATTAGGGCCCCACCCTTTTGACCCCATTTAAACTTCTTTACTTCTTACAGACCCTATCTCCAAATATAGTCACATTGGGAATTAGTGCTTCAATATATGAATTTGGGGAGGACATGAACTTTCAACCTATAACATTGCCCCCAAAAATCTGTAAGATCAAATTTGGCTACCATGTGTTAAGATAATGTAAGAGAGAGTAGTCTGAGACCAAAGAGATTTTGTCATTTGCCTATTTTTTTTGTATCTAAAGATGCCTACATGTAAAGTGTGGGCTGGGCTAGAAGATATCTAGCATCCAACATTCATTGTTTTAATGGTTATTCTTCTTTTTCTAATTCTCCTTTAAGACTTTACTTTCTTTTTTTTATTTTTTAATTTAATTTATTTTTTTAATACCCCCTGGGTGGGGGCAAGACTTTACTTTCATGAGTAAAGTCTTTATACCTTATGATGAGTAGAGGGCAGAGGTAGAAATAATTTGTTGAAATACCAGTGGCACCTCCTTCTGTAACTTTGTTCAGGCTTCTGAGAATCTGTAGGCTTCTAGTCAGTGAGACTGAGTTGAATGATGACCCTGCTCTACAAAGTATAAAATTCCTTTTGAGGTTAAGAATTGATTTGAGTTCTTTCGAATGAAGCTATTGAAAAAGCCCTGTGGTTGTATAGGTATGAACTTATTGATCTTCTTAGCACTTTATGAATTGGAAAGATGGGCTTATGGTATTCTTGTGGAAATGAGAGAACAAAGGCCTGGCTACTTATCCCTAGAAGCTTCATTGTGAATAATTAAAGAGGTTTTGAATAAATATAATTCTCACTCATTATTCAGTCATTTAGTTGTACCTCATATACTGTCATTGCTTCTAAGGATGCCTAGATTTACTACTGTTTTCAATAGAAAAATGCTAAATTAGACAAGGTACAGTGGCTCACACATACAATCTCAGCACTTTGGGAGGCCAACATGGGCAAATCACTTGAACCCAGAAGTTTGGGACCAGTTTGGGCAACACGGGAAAACCTCGTCTTTACAAACAGTAGGCTGGGCGTGGTGGCTCATGCTTGTAATCCAAGCACTTTGGAGGCCAAGGCAGGCAGATCACCTGAGGTCAGGAATTCAAGACCAGCCTGACCAACATGGTGAAACCCCATCTTTATTAAAAAAAAAAAAAGAAAAAAACAGTAAAAAAATTAGCCAGGCATGGTGGCACACACCTGTAATCCCAGCAACTTGGGACTGGGAAGCTGAAGTAGGAGGATCACTTGAGCCTAGGAGGTCAAGGCTGCAGTGAGCTGTGATCGTTCCATTGCACTTCAGCCTGGGCAATAGAGTGAGACCCTGTCTCAAAACACACACACACACACACACACACACACACACACACACACACACACACTCTCTCTCTCTCTCTCTCTCTCTCTCTCTCTCTCTCTCACTCACTCTCTACCTCACTTAAATGATGCTGGGAAAGGCATATTCCCCCTTAGAAACAGGTAGCTTGTAAAAAGCCGACATTATTGAAGCCCTAAAGCTGGAAGGAGCACATAAATGTGTACATTCAGATGACTGATGAAAAGAGAAAATCTATATGTGAGTTCAAGATGAGTGATTTAATATTTTTATTGATGTTTCTCTGTATCAGGCAGTAAAGGTAGCCTCGTATTAGAAGAAAGGCCGAAGGCTTCTTGAAAAGGCCCTGGACCTCAGGAAGGGTCTGTTGGCTTGTGTTCCAAAGACTAGTTGTACCCGAAAGTACAGGTCCTTGGCCTAATGCTAGTCTATGATGTTTCCCTAGTTTATGGCAAAATGAGATAATTAAGGACAATGTAAGCTTTCCATAAAGCTTTCTTTTCTGATGTTAAAATTTCATTTTTAAGAAAATATTGTTCTCTTTTGGTAAAATTTAATTTAAAAGATAAAAACATAGCAACCCTTTGACCTCTTTTTTTTTTTTTTTGAGACAGAGTTTCGCTCTTGTTACCCAGGCTGGAGTGCAATGGCGCAATCTCGGCTCACCACAACCTCCGCCTCCTGGGTTCAGGCAATTCTCCTGCCTCAGCCTCCTGAGTAGCTGGGATTACAGGCACGCGCCACCATGCCCAGCTAATTTTTTGCAGTTTTAGTAGAGACGGGATTTCACCATGTTGACCAGGATGGTCTCTATCTCTTGACCTCGTGATCCACCCGCCTCGGCCTCCCAAAGTGCTGGGATTACAGGCGTGTGACCTCTTTTTTTTTTTTCCCCTGGTCAGTGAAATCTAAAGTTCTCTGAACTGCTACTCTAGAGCAAATAAATTTTCTTGAAATTATGAATTAGAATTTGAGTGGAGTGGCTTCTAGAATTTTTATCAGTGTTAACTTAAATCATTTTATCATAGCACCTTAAAATGTATTTATAAATTAGCTCGTTCCTGGCTGGGCATGGGCTCATGCCTGTAATCACAGCACTTTGGGAAGCTGAGGTGGGAGAATTGTTTGAGTTTAGGAGTTTGAGACCAGCCTAGGCAATATAGGGAGACCTTGTCTCTACTAAAATTTAGAGAAAATTAACTGGGCATGGTGGTGCATGCTGGTAGTCCCAGCTACTCCGTGGGCTGAGGTGGGAGGATCACTTGAGCCCAGGTGGTTAAGGCTGCAGTAAGCCCTGATTAGGCCACTGCCTTCCAGCCTGAGTGACAGAGTGAGACCCTACTTCAAAAATAAAAATGAAAAGAAAAATTAGCTGGTCTAATTTTTTCCAGTCTCCACATATTATAAGGAGGGATTAAGCTCATTATTATTTTACAGATGAGCATGTTGAAACCTAGAGAAGTAAAGTATCTTATTTTCAGTTCCACAGTGAGTTAGAAGAAGGTATATTACTAGAATACAATCTCCTGGTGTTCCATGTCACTATTAATTGCACAGGGATAGCAAACGATGTTTAATTTCTCAGAACAACTTTGTCAGGTAGGAGCACTGTGTGAAGAATCAGAGGGTATTTTTGGCTTAGGAAGAAAGAGCCTGGAGAGGTTATTAGGGTTTCCTGGGTGAGGAAGGGAACATTGGCAGAAAGCCTGCCATGTATTTGTTCTTCCTAGCTATCTTGTGTTGCCTCTCTGAACTTAGTTAAGTGTGGAAAAGGCAAATATGCTAAGAAAGAATCATCAGAGCCTTTCTTTTTCTTTTATTTGCTTCTTTCGTAGTTCTCTTCTGGCCTTTTTAACAAGCCGGAAGAGCCCAAAGATGAATCTCCTTCTTCATGGAGATTGGGACTGAGAAAAACTGGCAGCCACAACATGCTGAGTGAGGTGGCCAATTCCAGGGAACCTCTAAGGGACCGAGGCTCTTCCGTCTACCGCTCTTCTTCAAGCCCTCGAATTTCTGCTCTGCTGGACAACAAAGATAAGGTGCAGTTTGGGTAGGGTAAAGGGGAATTCCAAGGCACTTTTTTTTTCGCAATGAAAATTCAGTCTTAGGAAAAATGAAAATATTTTCTAGTCCTTAATTTGATTTTGGAAATGCGAAGCCTTTAAAGGGAGACAGGCACACTGATAGTTTAATCAATTAGCTATTTGCTTGCCATTATTTGCTTGGCCAATGAAGAAAAAAAAGCTTTAAAAATAGCTTTTCCTTTTGGTGTGTTCATTCTTCCTTGCTCTGTTACCTAAAGCAAAAAATGGATCAGAAACATAAAAATTTTAATATGGTGGAGGAGGGTACAGGAAGGACCCCAGGAAGGTGTCCTGGAGCCAGAGGGCCAATTCTCATACCCCCAGCATCATGGCATCTGTGCTGAACCCTCTGAGCCCCCGCAGCCCCTCACCCCCACTGCGCCTCCTGCCTCCCGCCAGGGTCCACCACTTGAGGACTTCGTGGTGCTGGGAGGGGTCGAGGATTCAGAGGACGATGAAGATGACCTGAGTGAGCTGCTGCTGCTGGAGGATATGGGATAGCCCTCGGTAGAGGAGGCTGAGCAGCCTGGGGCCCCCGACCTGAGAGTCCTCACTGCCATGGAGCCTGAGCCTGCCCCTTCTCCTGTCCCGGAAGAGTGGCTGGACATCCCAAGGAACCCACATGTTGAGGAAGAAGACACTGGTCCCAGGGCTGCCAGGTTCCAGCCGACCAGTCAAGGGCCAGGTGGTGACCGTGCACTGCATTTCGTGAGAGAACAGCACGCTGGTGCAGGAGGAGCCAGAGCTGGTGTTCCCTGAGTGACTGTGAAGTCATCCAGGCCCTGGATCTTAGTGTCTCACTCAGGGACGTAGGGGAGAGGGTCATGGTCTCTGCTGATTCCAAGTACTGCTATGGCCCCCAGGGCAGGAGCCCATATATACGCAGCCCTGTGCCTGGAGGTGACCCCGAAGACGGCCATGGACGGGCCTGACCTGGAGATGCTCACAGGGCAGGAGTGCATGGCCCTGGCCAGCCAGAAGTGGGGGTGTGGCAACGCCCACTGTCAGCAGGAGGACTTTTTCTGGCCACCAACTCCTATGACCTCACCATCAAGACTATCACCTCCAGTGCCAAAGTGGACATGACTTTCGAAGAGGAGGAGCAGCTTCTGTGGTTGAAGGTGAAGTGTCTGAACAATCTGGTGGCCTCGCAGCTGAACCTTGACCACTCCTGAGGCTCCTGCAGCCTCGTGCTGGAACACCATCCAGACAATATCAAGGCTGTCTTTTACAAAGGCCTAGCAGGGCGAGTGCAGTGAGGCCATCCCCATCCTGAGGGCGGCCCTGAAGCTGGAACCTTCCAACAAGACGACCCATGCAGAGCTCTTGAAGCTGGTGAAGAAACACGTGGCACAGTGGAGCACGGAGACTGCCCTGTACTGGAAAATGCTGGGCAACCCCAGCTGGCTGCCCACCAAGTGCCCCGGTAAGGGTGCCTGGTCAGTCCCATGGAAGTGGCTGTTTGGGGCGACTGCTGTTGCCTTAGGGGGTGTGGCGTTCTCTGTGGTCATCGCTGCCGGAAATTGACTGCCCAGGTGGACACCACCCCCTCTGCACACCATGGACCCTGCCCTGTGCTCCTTAACTCCCCCAGACTCTGTCCATTGCCCTCCCTGGTCTGGCCTCCTCCTCCTCCGGGTTGGGGGCAGCAATGATTGGGTGTCATGCAGCCCAACCAGAGGAGGGACTGAGGCCCTCTAGGAGGAAAGCCTAGAGGAAGGGGGCCCTCATTCCTTCAGACCCAGTTTCCTCCCAGCCCTCCTCCTGCTGGGCTAGGTCTCTGCTGGAGCCGGCCTCAGTTTCTCCTCAATAGGCTTGGGGGCAGCCCCTCCTGCCCTGCCTGCCCCACCTGTCCCACCTGCCCCACCTGCCACACCTACCCCACCTGCCCCACCTGCCCTGCATAGGCTCCCTCCTTGCCACAGTGAAATAAAGCCTCCCACCCTGCAAAAAAAAAAAAAAAAAGGTCGGGCATGGTGGCTCACGCCTGTAATCCCAGCACTTTGGGAGGCCAAGGTGGGTGAATCACTTGAGGTCAGGAGTTTGAGACCAGCCTGGTCAACATGGTGGAAGTCCATCCCTGGTAAAAATACAGAAATGAGCCAGGCATGGTGGCATGTGCCTGTAATCCCAGCTACTCAGGAGGCTGAGGCACAAGAATCACTTGAACCTGGGGAGGCAGAAGTTGCAGTGAGCCGAGACCAGGCCATTGCACTCCAGCCTGAGTGACAGAGTAAGACCCTGTCTCAAAAAAAAAAAAAAAAAAAAATGGCCTAAGATGTTCTCCTGAAAGAAACTTCTGATGTTTAGAAGCAAAGCTCCCTTACCTGGGCTTTGAACCCAAATAAACCTCAGGCAAATTAGTACTTAGAAAAAAATTTTTTAACTTGTCATTCTTTCTTTAATATGGAAAATATGGTTAAGCTAACTTCACAAATAGTTTGTGTATTCATTCAAGATAAGTAAATTTTTATTTTCTCCCCTTTTTAGTTCCAGATTTTATAGGACTCTCTTAGTGCTTTTCTCTGGGGTCACATCTTGTAATCACAGTCCTCTTGCTTTATATTTCTGGAGACTACTCAAAGAGATGAGGCATATTGGTTGGATTAACTGCAGCATACTTATTGTACATAGTCCTAAGGAAGCCGTATTTCAAGGAAAAGATGTACTGGGGACTACTGGGGACTACATAAATCTTATTTCCTCAGGAATACTAGAGTGGAGCTTTCTGTTTGTGGCTTTTCAAAGGCTCTCCTCCTCTCTTGGCATAGCTGCTGCTTTGTGTAATTTGTGCTGCTGTTTCTTTATTTGCTCATCCTGACTTTCCCATGAGAATGATTTCCCTTCATACTGTTTTTTTATGGAAGAAAGTTAGGAATAAGCTTTTGAAAGCTAACCTTTTGTAAATACCCCTCAAAATAGAATTAGTGTTAGATCCAGAAATAAAATTATATAGGTATATTAACTTCTACTTTTTTACTCAAAATGTTTTACATTGTGCCAGTATTGTACCTTTCTTGTGCTTTACTTGTTTTTATTTTACAGGAGAGAGAAAACAAAAGCTATATTAGTTCACTAGCACCCCGGAAGCTCAATAGTACAAGTGACATTGAAGAAAAGGAGAACAGGTAATCCTAACATTGGGTAAAAGATGGTTCTCATCCTCTTAGGTCTGCTCATTATAGTCATCTCCTGGCCATTACTCTTCCGATTTTTTCCCTCAGGTGGCCTTACCACATTATGAATTCTTTGTTCCTTCTGCTTAGAACGCCTCTCGACTCTTTTATCCTTGCTATGCCAGTTCTTTATTCTTCAAATTCTAACTCCAGCTTAGACATTACTGTCTTTAGGAAGTCTTCCCCGATTTTTCCACACATAGATTAGTTTTAATCCTCCAGCAGGCTCTGTAAAGGTAGGGTCTGTGTCTGTCTGGTTTTTCAAGGACCCCTAGTTCCTAGCACAGTGCCTAACACATAGTAAACACTAATATAATGTTATTCAGTTAAATTGACCAAATTTTAATTTGTCAGAAGGTAAAATTAAAGTCTTCCTAATTAGTTAAAATAAATATAGGGATTTTGAAGTATTGCTGCATCTCAGGGCAAAACGTGATCTCAAACCTTAGCCAGCAGCATTGGCATCACCCAGGTACATTTTATTTTTATTAAAAAAAAATGTTTTTAATAGTAACAGGGTTTTGCTGTTTCCCAGGGTGGTCTCAAACTCCAGGCCTCAAGCAGTCCTCCTGACTTGCCCTCTCAAAGTGCTGGGATTGTTAGGCATGAACCACTGCTCCTAGCCTGGGTGCTTGTTAGGACTGCAGAATCTCAGGTCCTACTCCAGACCTACAGAATTAGAATCTGTATTTTAACGAAATTTCCTGGGTTATTGAAATATTAATACAATTAATGTTTGAGAAGGATTGTGCTAGAGAACCTTGTGAAGCATGGAGACCCATAGCTTTTGTAACAAAGACCCTGAGTTACCAACTGTGGATCAAAATATCCTACTGCAGCACTTTCCTGGATACCTTTTCATTTATAATGCTAAAGAGGCTTCCAGCAAGTCTTCCTTCCCTTTCCCCTTCTGTAGTAACCTTTTTTCCTGGTAATGAACTTCTTCATCTTCCCCCATCATTTCCTTCTCTGCTTAACTTAAAAGCCACCTACACTGAGACAGATTGCAACACACTTTTTTTCCTTTATTTTTTGAAACAGTCTCACTCTGTCACCCAGGCTGGAGTGCAGTGGCATGATCTCAGCTTGTTGCAGCCTCTGCTTCCTGGGTTCAAGCGATTCTCATGCCTCAGCCTCCCGGGTACAAGCCACCATGCCTGACTAATTTTTTTGTATTTTTAGTAGAGATGGGGTTTCACCATGTTGGCCAGGCTGGTCTCAAACTCCTGACCTCAAGTGATCTGCCTGCCTTGGCCTCTCAAAGTGCTGGAATTGTGAACTACCATGCCCAGCCGCAAAGCACTTTTTAAATAAGGATCAAAAGTGACTTCTCATTACAAAAGCGTTAGAGACCTTTGACATGAGGACTTTGGTACCTGTTGAAATTAATTGGTTCAAAGTTGATAAAAGAAAGCAGACAGTAATACTTCTATTCTGTACAGAAAACAGGTATATAAAACAGAATCACCTGAAAAATGTGTCTATTAGCCATATTAGAGTTTGCCTGTCTTGCACTTCTCTCTCTGTATTGTATCATGGACAAAAACTGGTGGTAGGAATCAGTGTTTTGTTTTTCTTTCATGCTTCTACAGAGAATCAGCTGTTAATCTAGTGAGGAGTGGCTCCTATACCCGGCAGCTAAGGAGGGATGAAGCAAAGGGAAATGAAACCCCACAGACAATTGCTCCTTCCACTTATGTATCAACCTACTTGAAAAGGTACCAGGCTCAAAGGGGGTGGGAGATGTTTCTTTCACTCTAGCCATGGGAATATGGGTAATAATTGCATGCCTTTTTATGTCCAATTAACACCATAGAAATGAATCAAAATGAATTACTTTTAGATTTCTTAGAATTAACATCTTGAATAATTTAAAAATAAAATAATTTATTCTCTTAATAATTGAATTAAAGTAAGCTAATTTCAGGTTCTTATTACAGATCTGGCTTTATATTTCATCCTCTCTGTCTTATGAAAATTTTTAGTCAGAAGGGACTTTCAGTAATCTCTGAGCAAGACTGAATTTAAGTTATCCTTGTCCTGTAGCTGGTTCCCCCTTTTCTGAAGTAGAGTAGCTCTCATCCCATGTAATATTTTTGGGGAAAGGAAGGGAGGGACACTATAGGGTGGTGAGGGGTGGGAAATGGGGACAGTTTTCTATTGCATTAAAGAAGTTTCATACTAAAGCCTGTTAATTTAGGGACTTGAGTTGTTTTTTTTCTTATGACTTTAATGGCCCTCAGATCCATCAAGATGTGAAACTCGCCAGTTTGATGCAGAGAAGGTACATGGGTTTCCTTCTTTTCTCATCTATATTCCCTTTTCTGCAATTATTTTCTTTGCCACATACTAGCCAGCAAACCAAGCACCTTTGCCAGAGCCATTAAGCTATAAAATATACTTAATATATTAATTTGAACTTTGCTGCTAATGTGGAAGAATCTGTTTATTATTGCTTACTTTGAATTCTTTCTTCACTTCCACTTAACCCTTCCCACTGTCTCCTTACATAGTGGTTTTTTAGATGATTGGTTGGCTACCTTAGAAACATGCCCTGGCCATAGACTAAATGCGCAGATTAACTTTTTGGAATCAACACTTATTTCCACTTGACAGGGAGACTTGTCAATGTTGGAACATGGGAAATAGCTATAAAACACACAGCCACTGTTGCCTTTTAATGTTCTTCAGTTCTGTAGATATATTCTGTAAGAAAGGGCTCAACTTTGAAAGTATGAAAGTTTGATGATCTCACTGATGCTTCATTATACAAAAGAGGTGTTTCTTGCTTTATGAGGCTGTCACCTATTTGTCTTAATGGCTAAGGCCTTGGTATTCCTAGATGCATTATTATTCCTTATGGTTGGATCCAAGATCAATAAAACTTTTCTAAGAAAATAATGTTCTAGATCAAGGGAAGGGAGAAAGCTGGCATTTAATTTCCAGGCATGGAGTTATTCTGTGGTGAGGTTGTTGATTTTTGTGATCCAAATAATCAGCAAATTGGTTGAGAGGCATTTGGTTTGATAGATGTAGTTTGGCAAAGTTATTGTGAACAGTGAAGGGAAGGGTTGCCTCCATTTAGGATCAAAACCATGCTTAATGATGTGAGCACTTTTTGAGGAAAAGATCTACAACTTGCTTCATACCTTGGATTTCCAAAGCTCTTCTCCTGTAACCCTAAAGCACTTCTTAATTTTATAAAAGCCTATCTTGTGATCTTTTTAAAAGGAAAGAATCATATGCCATCACCATTTAAAAGAGCAAGTGTGAGGAGAAATTTGTCATTTCCCAGCTATGCCAAACCTTCGTATACATTCCATTTTCTAGTTCATCTCTTGTGTTTAGGCAGAAATTCCTTTCATATGGCCCATATTAAAATACTTCTTTTCCAAGGAAAGCTTTATAGCTTTTTTTGGTTATCCCCCCAAGTGTTTCATTTCTATTATAGTCAAGAAATATTTTTAAAATTTGAACCCAAATAATTTTTTGCTGCAAGTGAGATGGTTCTTACCTGCCTTCGATTGAAACAAATAAAAGTTGCCTTTTATTGCTCATACAGTATTACTTTCTAGAATTAAAACTTTAAATCCTCCCAAAGGCAATTTTGCTTTAGGCCGAATAACTGCAGTTCTCAAAGTCATTTTTTTCACAGAGCTTCTTTACTCTTTTCCGCTTTTAAAATTTAAATTTCTACTCCACAACCTCTCCAAATTCTCTGGTCTTACTTTAGCTTTTACAGTGCTAATTCTATATCAGGTAGACATTTGGGGTTGCATGATTATTTGCCTTGGGTTTGTTGGGAATTATTTGCTCTAATAGAATTATCCTGTTTCCTATTATTCCCTTTCTTAGCCTCCCCTCTTATCATAAAATCTACTTTCCTGCTTTCCCTCATTCAGTATCATCTCTCTTCCTCCATATTCCTTCACTCTTTTGGATGATTGACCAAAAAGACCATCCTTCAAAGAGTGATGATTCCTTCATTCTTTCGTTGATTGCCTACTTGCTGCTGACAGTGACTCAGCTCTAGCTGGAGTTGATCACTTCACTTCCCAGTTGTCATACCTTTCTTTAGTCTATATTCCTTTTAAGTGCACAATCTGGGTGGGAAGGTGGTGCTGGGAAATGGTGGGTGAGCAGCATGTCCTGAAGAAAGTGACTGTGTGCTGTTTTGCAGTGCTTCATTTGGTAGGAGTAGTGACCCCACAAGTCCCTACATTTCAGCCAATCGCAATTCATCTCCTGCTACCTCACCCATTACCATTGGTTCATCTACCTCTCGGGGCAGCCAGTGGCAACCTGCCTCTTCTTGCCCTGCACCAATCAGTGCAAACTCTACTGCATCTGTACATCATGGCAGGTAAGGCTTCTTGGAGCCATTTGAGTTGCATTCATCAAAGTTAATGCCCCTGAAAACACATGAAATTTGAACCAAAGAGACGTTATCACTATAGAAAGACGTTAGAATTCCTGAGAAAATGTCTGAAATTTAATGAGGATGTTTTTGCTTTGACTTTTATTAGCCAGTCAACAGTTGCATATTGAATAATTAAAGTGTATGTATAATTGTACTTGGTGTTTGGACATCAGCTTAAGATGACTCATTTTATCTCTCAACAACCTTCCCAGTTGTGATTACAATTTAAGGGTCATACCATTGTGGTAAATCAAATATTGAAAATATTTTCATATTTTACTTCTATTAATTTTCCAGTAATTATAATAGGAATCTCTTGTATTTAGTCTTTTAAATGGCATACAAACCCAAATCAGAAAGAAAGCTAGCTCATTTTCCAAAAGCCTGTGATAGCCTTCTGAAAACTCCCAGCCAATGAGAGCGTTTTGCTGGATACCCTGTAAGAAGGGAGAGATTTGTGCTTGTCTAAACTGTGTTCTTGGGGCAGTATCTTCCTGGTTTCTAGTTCATCTACGGGATACCATGGTAGAGGGTCACTGTGAAAGTATATTAGGACTTTGTCGTTTTAACTCTGGCTTTTAATCCTTTATGTGTGGTGGCAAAGGGTCTCCTTTTTTTGGGTCTGTGTCTACAACTGATAAAGAAAATGAAAAAATCTTAATGATAGTGTTGTTGCAAGAATGCCAGTGTTGGTGCTACTTGATTGATATTTGTCATTTTACTAGATTTCTTTCCCTAAAATAAGTGATGATCATTAATTCAGCCAGGAGGGAAGGGTTTATGATGGATTGTTAATAATACTGTATAATTATGAGTAAATTTATTAGGTCCCGTAATAATCCAGTTGCATAGACATGTTAATTATTATCACCATAGATGAAGAAACACAGAGAGGTTATTGTTACTATATTATATTTGACATATATAATGCACATTATATATGTAATTATATGTATTATATATGTAATTATATATATATTACAAGTCTCATAATTTTATATATATATATATATATATATTACTATAACTATTAAGAGCTGCAACTGGGTCGGACACAATGGCTCATGCCTGTAATCCCAGCACTTTGGGAGGCCAAGGTGGGTGGATCACAAGGTCAGGAGTTCAAGACCAGCCTAAGATGGTGAAACCCCGCCTCTACTAAAAATACAAAAAAATTGGCCAGGCACAGTGGCAGGTGCCTGTAATCCCAGCTACTCAGAAGGCTGAGGCAGGAGAATCGCTTGAACTGGGAGGCAGAGGTTGCAGTGAGCTGAGATTGCGTCACTGCACTCCAGCCTGGAAGACAGAGTGACACTCTGTCTGGGGGAAAAAAAAGCTGCAACTGAGACAAAATAATTCCAGCTGCCATTTGTTGGACCCTATTATGTGACAGGCATTTGGTTAGATAGTATATAAAAATTATATTGGGGTTTAGTTTGCTCACATGTAATGATAAATCTAAATAGTAGTGGCTTAAATAAGTTAAAGGTTATTTATTTATTTATTTATTTATTTTGCACTTAAGAAAATTCAGAAATATGCAGAGCTGGCTTAGTAGCTCCATAGTCATTAAAGGATCCAGGTTCTTTCTGCTCCACAGGTCTTGCATCATGGCTGCCATTTCCATGGGTTGCCCCATGGTCCAGAATAACTCCTGGAGCTCTAGCCATCATGGCTACACTCTAAGGAAGAAGGAGGAAAGGGGGAAGCAGATAAAAAAAGAATGCCGCTGAACTGAGAATTTTCCCAGTAGTACTAGTTGCCTGCATATGTCTCATTAGATACCTCTAGTGGCCAGGAGACTGAGAAGTATGGGGCTTTTTGTTTTTGTTTTTTGTGTTTTATTTTCTTTTAAGACAGTTTCACTCTTGTTGCCCAAGCTGGAGTGTAGTGGCAGATCTCGGCTCAGTGCAGCCTCTGCCTCCCAGGTTCAAGCGATTTTCCTGCCTCAGCCCCCTGAGTTCCTGGGATTACAGGCCTGCGCCACCATGCCCAGCTAATTTTTGTATTTTTAGTAGAGACAGGGTTTCTCCATGTTGGTTAGGCTGGTCTCGAACTCCCGACCTCAGGTGACCCGCCCACTATAATCCCAGAGTGCTGGGATTATAGGTGTAAGCCACCACACCCAGCCCAAAAGTGTGGATTTTTAACTGGGTACATTGCTGCCCTCAATAATATAGGCATTCAGTTCATAAAGAAGAGGGACAATGGATATGGGTTAGACAACTAGCTGTCTCATGCATACGTATATCACTTATTGTCTTATAATGAGCCCCCTATTATATGAAGTATTATTTTATAGATGAGGAAACTCAGACCAAAAGGTTAATCATCTGCCGAAGGTCACACAGCTAGTGAGGAACTGAGGTAGGATTTGAACCTAGATTTGTCTATTTCAAAACTCTTATCTATTTTGTCACTGTTTGTTTCTGCTGAGTTTATATTTTATCCCAGGCACGATTTTAGGTGTTCTACAGACATTATTTAATCATTACAAGAACCCTGTATTTTAAGGTGCCATTATCTTTATTTTATCAATGAAGAAGAGATCAGAGAAGGTACATTTGCTTAAATGTAGCCCCAAGTATTTCCAAAGCCCATATTTATTCTACTCCATTGTATATCCTCTGATCTCTGCTCTAGGACTGTTCTGATTCTAACAATCTACTTATAAAATGACACTGCATATTAAAGTAATAGTAGAAGTCCTATTATGTAATTTAATAAAATTAAATCCTGGGCATTTCAACAGCATAGGAAATTACAGTGAGACCAAAACATGTTATTAACCTAAAAAGAACTTCAGGTAAGGTTTGGTTAAAGTGTAATTTTTTATAGCTGTGTGTCTAGCTAATTTATTAGTACTTCCTATAGACTCATATCTGGTAAGTCTGAGGAATTTTTTGCCTTTACTTTTTTAATTTAAAAAATGACTATAAAAAAATAAAATGACTATAAAATTTCACCTTTTTTCTTAGTTATTAATTGCTTCTGTAGAAGTAGCTTGTGTTTTTTAGATACTACCTCTATCTTTTAAAATATTCTGTTTTTATATTTGCATCTAGATATCATATTTAGGTTTTTATATTTTGATTATTTTTTTCAAGCTCGTAATGTGATTATTTGGAAGTAAGCTTAGAGCTATCTGTGAACATTTCATAGGTAATAATTGTGAGTAGGTGGCAAAAATAGATTTTTAATATTTGTGCTTTTCATTGCTTTCTCCATCTCTGTATCAATTTTGGATCTCTGTTACCCCAGCAACAGCTGTGACATCACAAATGATAGCTTTTTGGGTGGAGAGCCAATGGTTGCTCCCAACTCTTTGTTAAGAAACAAAGATCTTGTTTTCATGTAAATGAATTTAATTATACAGCTTGCTGTTGAAAAGTCTGTAGTTAAGGTTACTTATAGAATCCGATTTGGTTTTTGTTTCAATTTCTCACTTTTGCAGTTATGAATATAGACAATTAGGCATTTGGTTAAATGGAAAGAAAGAACAGTTGCTAAACTAGGTAAGGGAGAACTAAGCATACCGAGGTTTTAGAGTATCAGTTGTCTCTGGATAATTCAAGAAGATGGTCATCAAATCTAGGCTGAGGACTACCACAAAGACTCCCACTGCCAAGAATTAAGGAACAGGTGGAGACTAATATCGTAAGTGACTTTAGCGTCTTTTTCTTGTGTAGAGAGGCCCTGTCTCCGTGTGCATGTGTGGAGACCAGATGCTACTGGGGAGTCATTTAAAGCACTCTTGCATATGTCACTATCTCGCCTTGTACCATAGCTAATGATTTTTGTTAAAATAAAAGGCACACACGTACACATACAAGTCTCATAAAATGTAACTCCTCAGGCAAAGGATGTCAGACTAAATGTGTAATTATACTATTCCAAGCTGTAGGAGCTCAAAATTAAAAAACAAAAAACAAAATTAGAGCAAGATTTCCTATTCGAACCTCTCTTTAATCCTCTGTCTCTGTGCCAATGCTTTATTGTATAGCATGACTTACCATTTCCTTTCTGCTTGTATCTTTTTTGATTTCAGGATTCCTCACAAATCCCAGACTGACTCCACAGCAGAGAAAACAGCAGACAATGTCTCTTCTAGCACCCCGCTTTGTGTGATTACCAATCACCCTCTGCCAAGCACTGCCAATGGGGTTACAACTACTCCTGTGCTCTCCGTTACTGGAACAGACTCCTCTGTGGAAGCCAGGGAGAAGAGGAGGTATGTTGGGTTACTGATTTCATTTGTGGGGCTCTGCTTCAAGGTAGAAGATAAAGGAATGGGCATAAAGTGTTTTTCACAACTTCAAATACATTTATCAAAATATACCTTTATATTATGTTCTGTCTTTTGCCTCTGAGCAATCGGTTTTTGGTGGAGACCTCAGTTGTTTCTGATATTTAGCATAGACACTTATGCCGCTATGGATTTAGGCATATCTTTTTTTGTTTGTCTTGTGGTAGAGACAGTTGTTAGGCATTATTTCTCCATTTTGTGATGGAGAACCTGTGAAGTGAAGCACAGAGAAGGATCTTTTGTTTTGTTATGGATAGTCTATGTTGACTTCTCTGGCAGCAAAGAAAGGTAACAGTATGACACAAGGCTCAAAGAAATGGAAGGATATAAAGTTTTGATTAATTTGAGTAGAATACCGGAAAAGGAAATGAATAGTATGTGATGATATGGTAAAAGAATAGTGACTAGTTATTCTTTAATTTCTTTAGAGAGAAGGTATAAGAAAACATTGTGAATTGACATAAAAGAGATGTAAGGTGGAAGCTAAGAAAAACTTTTTGATTGTCAGGGTTAAGAGAAACCTTGGAAAATGTGACCAAGCAAGAATGGGCCCTTTTCTCCTACTTGAGGAAGTGTTAAAAAATAGAATGTACTCCATTTGGAAGTTTCAAATGTACTTAAAAACTAAGGCTATAGTTATCCCTTGTTAAGATTAGACAAAGTGAAATCTTATCAAAATTTAGATTTCAGTTTGACTTCATATTATTTTGAATATCCAAAGAAGGCACTTTAATATTTTGTGTGTACCAAGAGATTGTCTTTTTTCCAATGTATGTTCTTGGCACCTTTGTCAAAAATAAGCTCACTGTAGATGTATGGATTTATTTCTGATTTCTTTACTCTGTTCCATTGGTCTATGTGTCGTTTTTATGTTAGTACTATGTTGCTTTGGTTATAATAGCTTTGTAGTATAATTTGAAGTCAGGTAATGTTATTCTTTTGTTCTTTTTGCTTAGGGTGGCTTCACTATTCTGAGTCTTTTGTGGTTCCATATGAATTTTAGGATTATTTTCTCTATTTCTGTGAAGAATATCGTTGGTATTTTGATAGGGATTGCATTTAATCTGTAGATTGCTTTGGGTAGTATGGACATTTTAACAATATTGATTCTTCCAGTCCATGAACATGGAATATCCTTTTTTTGTGTGCTGTTTATTTTCTTTAGTTTTTGTTCTAAAGATCTTTTAGTTCTTTGATTAATTCCTAGGTATTTTGTTTTATTTGTAACTATTGTAAATGGGTTTACTTTCTTGATTTCTTTTTCAGGTCATTCACTGTTGGCAGATAAAAATGCTACTGACTTTTGTATGTTGATTTTGAATTCTGCAACTTTACTGAATTTTTCAGTTCTAATCGTTTTTTTTTTTTGGTCAAGTCTTTAGGTTTTTCCAAATGTAAGATCATGTTATCTGCAAACAAGGGTAATTTGACTTCTTCCTTTCCAATTTGGATGTCATTTATTTCTCTCTCTCCCTCTCTCTCTCTCTCTCTCTCTCTCGTTTTTTAAATAGAGATGGGATTTCACTGTGTTGCCCAAGCTGGTCTCAAACTCCTGGGCTCAATCCATTTTCCCACCTCGGCCTTCCAAAATGCTAGGATTATAGGCATGAGCCACTGTGCCCGGCCTATAACTTTATCTTCTCTGATTGCTCTAGGTAGGACTTCCAGCACTATATTGAATAACAGTGGTTGAAAGTGCACATCCTTGTCTTGTTTCACATCTTAGAGGAAAGGCTTTCAGTTTTTCCCCATTCAGTATGATAATAGCTATGGGTTTGTCATATATGGTATTTAATGTGGAAATATGTTCCTTCTATACCCAGTTTTTTGAGGGTTTTTATGATGAAAGGGTGCTGAATGTTATCAAATGCTATTTCAGCATCAATTGAAGTGATCATAAGGTTTTTAATCCTTCATTCTGTCAATATGCTGTATCACATTGATTGATTTGTATATCTTTGAAGCATCCTTGCATCCCTGGGATAAATCCCACTTGGTCATGGTGAATTATCTTTGTAATGTGTTGTTGAACTTGGTTTGCTGGTATTGGCTATAGCTTTCTTTTTTTTTTGATGTGTCTTTGTCTGACTGGTATCAAGGTAATGCTGGCCTTATCAGATGAGTTTGGAAGTATTCCTTTGTTTTCTGTTTTTCAGAATAGTTTGAGTAAGGTTGGTACTAATTCTTCTTTAACTGTTTGGTAAAATTCAGCAGTGAAGCCGTCAGGTCCCATGTGAGTGTGTATGGACATGTAGTAAGTATGAAAGTCTTATCTACAAGATACAATACAAATTAAACTTTTTATGTTTGCTTATTATAAGGACAGCTTTTATATGTCTATTGTAAAGAAACTTTTTTTATATAAAGACATATTTTGAGAAGGAAGTTAAAGAAGATGTTGAGTTGGAAAATAGTGTTTTTCTTCTTTTCTTTTCCTTCCTTTCTTCCCTTTTTTTTTTTTTTTTTTTTCATTTCTTTACATAAAAGGGAAGGAAACTAATTTTCTGGGCTAACAGTTTTCAGAGCCAATTACTGTCTTTTTAAAATTGGTCTCCAGCCAAGGAAATAGTATTAAATCAATCTTGAATAGTAAATGCTTGTATACTTAATAGCTCAAATGTAATTTAGATACTGTTAGTTTCACCTAGAAACTAAATGCAAAAGTAATCTTTTCATTAGCTGACAAAAACTCTCTTTAAAAAAGTCTTCCTGAGCTGAGAGAAGTAAAATGAGGTAAATTCCTCATTAAGAGTATGATCCCAGAAAGAGTGGGGAAATCAGGTTCTTTATCAAACTGCATTATTAAATACCTAGTTGCATGAACTGTTATTTGGGAAACTTAGTTTTACTGCCTTCTGGAAATGTTGTAACCTACAATCAATAAGATAGTACCTGCTGCAGAGACAAGATATATGAATCAAATAGTTAAAATATTAGTGAATATTAATATTAGTGAGTTATTAATATTAGTTGAATGTGGTACATCAAGCACAGGTCAAGATAAGTGCATTTTAGGAATGGCACAAGATAAATAAGTAGGGAGATGTTAGATGTAGAGCTGTTGGACTCATTCACTGGATATATTCTAGCATTCATTCATCTTCAAAATAATTATTGAATATTTTGAAGTACCTGTTGCCAGATGCTATGAGAAGCCCAGGTGATATCAGTGAACCAGACAAATATGATGTGAGCCCTGTGAAACAAATATGCTAGTGAAAAAGACAAATGTTAAATGTTTCCACCTTTTAGCTATTATGAATATTTGTGTAATATAAAGAAGTAGTATGAGTTGTTATAACAGTGTCTTACTGAAGATCTGCTGACAGACTTCCCTTATTGGTCAGGTATGGTGGCTCACACCTATAATCCTGGCACTTTGGGAGACCAAGTTGGAAGGATCACTTGAGACAAGGAGCTCAAGACTAGCCTACACAACATAGCAAGACAAAAATTAAAAGAAATTAACTGGGTGGTGGCACACACTCCCAGCTGCTTAAGAGCCTGAGACCAGAAGAGCTCTTGAGTCTGGGAGTGTGAGACTACCATGAACTATGATAACACCTCTGTAGTCCAGCCTCAGCCACAGATCATGACCCTGTCTCTAAAAAAAGAAAAAAAAGATTTGTCTTCTCCTGGAGGATAAAAGAAGGCTTTCATGAGGGTGTGATACTGCTCAAACTGAGATCTGCTGGTTAAGTAATAGTTACATGAGGAGAAGGGAATGGGGATTCCAAACAAAAGGTCTGGCAATTGAAAAGACACTAAGGTAGAAGGGTTCTTGATCTTTTGGAAAAACTGAGAGAAGGCATTGTGTCTAAGAATAGAGAAAGAGAGGTCTAGGATGAAGCTTGAGGAGCGGGTAGGAGCTATATACATACATATATCATATACATATATATGTAGAGAGGGAATTCACATACCATACAATTCACCAGTTTAAAGTGTACAATGCGGTGGTTTTCAGTATATTCACAGGTAAGTGCAACCATCATCACAGTAACTTACAGAACATTTTCATCACCTTAAAGAGAAATCCTGCACCCTGTAGCTCTTCCCCACAGTCTCCTTATTTCCCCTAGGCCTAAGCAACCACTGATCTACTTTTTATCTATAGACTTACTTATTTTGGACATTTTATATAAATGGAATAAAAATATGGTCTTTAGTCACTGACCGACTTCTATTTAATAGAACGTTTTCAAGGTTCATCCCTATGATTGCATGTATCAGCACTTTATTCCTTTAAACAGGTGAATAATACTCCATTGTATAGATAATGCCACATTTTGTTCATTAATAAGTTGATGGACACTTGAGTTGTTTCCACCTTTTATTTATTATGAATAATGTTACCATGAGCATTTGTGTAGAAGTTTTTGCGTGGATATCTGGTTTCATTTCTGTTGGTTATATACCTAAGAATAGAATTTCTGGGTCATGTGCCATTAGAAGATTTTAAGCAAAAAGTAGCATGATCTGACCTATAGTTTTTAAAGTTCTGGCTTTTAAACTGTGGCTCCAGTATTACATATGAATTGGACGAAGAAAAATAGACAAGAATGGATGTGAGATGACCAGTCAGGAAACCATTGCAGAAGAAATGATCATGAGAGAGAACAGTGGCTTGCATTGAGATAATGGTAGAAGAGTTAGACAAAAGTGAATGATCTTGACCAGGCACGGTGACTCATGTCTGTAATCCCAGCACTTTGGGAGGCTGAGGAGGGTGGATCACTTGAGGTCAGGAGTTCTGCCTCCTGGTCAACACAGTAAAATCCCGTTCCCACTAAAAATGCAAAAATTAGCTGGGAGTGATCACACACATCTGCAATCCCAGCTACTCGGGAAGCTGAGGCAGTAGAATCGCTTGAACCTGGGAGGCAGAGGTTGCAGTGAGCTGAGATCATGCCAGTGCACTCCAA